ATAATTCCAAAGCCAATTTATCAGGGAGCCTCCTAATGAAAACGCAAATGCCTTTCCCACTGGTCCTTCCTTCCACAACATCTCAGGCTATGTCTACACTGCAGGGTTTTTCTGGGATACCAGAGGTATCCTGGAAAAACTCTGCCACATCCAGGGAAAGCATCTTCTCTTCCACTTTTTTTTGCAGAAGAGCAGATACACTTTTTCAAAAGCTCTGCCTTCCTCCTCCCACGGGGAAGAAGGGCTCTTCCAAAAGAGGAGGGTTTTTTTCGAAATTTGACCCAGTATAGATGGGCCACATTTCGGGAAAGCCTCTTCCAAAAAAAGATCAGAAATTGTGGAGTGGAATTTGCGTATCTTTTTCCAATTGATCATTGTAGTCTAGACATCGCTTCAGTCTGCCCTGTTATCCACACTATTCCATTCTCTTCTCCTTGCCTCTTTTCTTCCCACTGCACCCCTCACCCTGTCACAGCCTTACACCTCTTTCTCTCCATCATTACCTGTAACAATCTCCTTTCCCCTGCAAACTTGTCTGCCTTTCTCAGGACCTCCATACCTGCTCCTTGCCTTCACCAACATCTATTAATTTTCCTTCTCATTCCTCAAAATCATTGGAGCACCTGTATTCATTTCTGTCTACCCCTTTCCCCCTCAGAATGCAAACAAGAAACATTAGAATAAGATAATATTCAGTTTGATTCATTAGTATAAGGAAATTTAATTTTTATTAGTAAATCTCAGATAACAGAAGGCTTATCACAGAGGTCCTACTAAAATTTGGGCCTCAGAAGAAGACTATCCCTCTATGGGAGAAAAAGCTGAAGTATCATTGTTACATATTTTATTGCTACCATAATACAATGTGAGCACAGTAACTATACGATGCTCCATATAGCAGATGCCATCACCACCACAGGCAGGACTGTCTAGATCTGGGTGATATTTTGTAACTCACATTTTAAATTTTGATGGAAAAAATAGGTTGCTGTCTTGGATGGCCATCCTGTTTCATGACAGACTCTTAAGGTGGTTGAGAAGTTCCAAACATAAAATAATTGAGACATTTTGGTGATTATATTTTTGCTTGTGTTTTGGTAAACATTCCATTCCATTTTTCAAACTGGAATCTCAATGAAAAGCTTTAATTCAGAGCCCTTTATTTCATTTCTGGAATATCCAGAGCCAAAAACCATGACACCGAATCCTCCTGGAGTTGTAGTTTCTCTTTATGACAGAGTCCTGTAGAATATATACTAAAATCACAACATTTGTATGGATATTGTGGTAGCATTGGCAAAGAATTCAACCTCTGCTGTAGATGGTAAAAAATACCATAGAATGGACTTTACCTGTTTTATTCTATGTGTTATAGAATAGTTTCTATATACATCTATTACATTGCTATAGAATACTATTAATCCCTAATAAATTCTACAGTACTATTAAAATCCAGAGAAACTGAAAGAACTTTCTCAGAATTCATGGTGTTAAAACCTTGCTCTGTACAAACTAGTGCTGCAAACTATCTTTTATGACTGTATGATGTCTTTCGTTGTAGAGAAAATACGGAACACAGTGGTGATGAATATAAGGGATTCTTGCGTCAGTCTGCTAGCAGCAGACAGAAATACAGAGCTCTCCACCAGTTCTCTTGCTCCCAGACAACCTAGCCCTAACCACAGCCATGGCTGACTAATCTTATCCCACAAGATAGTAAAAAGAGGTTGGTTTGGGTTAGGGTTATAGTTAAAGGAACTCTTAACTATGATGTGACATCAACATCCCAGCAAACTGACACCCAAAGGAAAATGTCTGACATTCAATCCAGGAGAGAACAGAAATTCCACAACCCCCTGCTCCTATCCAAGTCATTAAACCTTTCCTAATTTTTTAAAACTATACATACATTTATTTCATCACACACATCTGTTAATCTGGTTCCTGACAAGGGAATTGGATTCTAGCAAGGAACACTACATACCCATCCTAACACTGCTCTTCTACAAATTAAGGAATAATCTGTAAATTATCAGTTGCTTTTAATAATATGTGAAAATTAACTCTGGTGATTGTGGAATAGCTAATGACTGTGGTGGAAGGGCTGTGGTGGGAGGATTGACTGAATGACTTTGGTCTCTAACAGGGACATGTGATTCCAAATTTATAGGATGAAATAATTGAATGTTGCCCAGGCCAAACATTTATTTATTGTTTATTGAGTTTTAAGCAGAAGACATAACAAAGCCAGCAATAACCAGATAAATCTCTTTCTGAATGGGAGCCCTGAAATGGGGGAAGGAAGAGTTTAGCCAGAAACCTCAAATTAATTAAAAGGTGCTGAAGAAAACATTTTATTGCTAAGCAATTAAATTAAATAGAAGCACTGACATTTAAAAAAACCACCCCAACACCTGCTGCTCTGAGAATTTCTTAAAATGAGGCAAGCCCAGATCTGAACATGTGACAGGAGACAGAGAATGCTACTACAAATTAATAAGTTTTATAGGTATTGTAAATCATACCATAAAACATGTGTTTTTCAGTCTACTAAAGAAAACACTGATCTAGTGCTATCTGAACTTAGAAAGCAATATGCATGCCAACATCACTGTGCAGAATCCATTCAAGACCTCTTACTACTGTCAATTACTATTGACATTTTTTTCCTGTTTCTTCCTTAAGGCAGAAAACTGCATTACAAGGGATTCAAGAAAGCACATGCCACAGGAATGTGATCCTTTCTCTAGGCAAATAACTTGGTAAATCCCAAATATCAGACTTTCCAAAGAAAACTCATGTGTCTTTTTGTAGCCTTATTCTAGTTATCTATTCACAGACTCACACTAAACACACACAGGCCCTTTTTAGTCTTCAGAGAAGTAACTCTCTTGTTAAACCAAAAAAGAATGTGCTTTTTAAAAATTGTTTAAAGCTAGAAGAAAACTAATCCCAAATGTCAAATAATAAGTGTCTCCTATTCAAAGTACAAATGTTAGCTGTATTATTTTAATAATATCTGAATTGAGGAACTTTTGTTTCACCCCCAAAAAAATTCACCTCTGCTGAATACATTCCAGTGAAACTGAAGCATGAAAGGTGTCGCCTGTTTGGCTGCATTATGCTATAAGGTTAAACATAATTGTGTGTTAATAACTGAGAGTATGTCAACATAAAAGAGTAAAAAGGAGAATGAAATGTGGCTTGGCTTCAAATTACTCCAGGTTTACATTGTGCCAAAGTCTTGGTATTAAATGAGAATCTCTATGCAAGTCTGAGACACCCCTCAGAGGAAATTATTTCTAGTCTCGATGTTGGTAGTTTGTGTGAACAGGCACTACCCTTTCCGTTCTGAGGCACCTGGAGATATCTGAGGCCAACAATAATACTTCATTGACTAATCTGCAGGTAGTTTGTTGCAAAATAACCTGTGATGTGGACACTGCCTGGTCTCTGGAGAACAAGGAGTTAACTCAACTTTGTGTCTACCTTCCAAGAGCCCCTTTAGCTTGTAATGCACACATCTGAAGCAAAACAATGTGGCTACATATACACTGGCATGATTTTGCGCAAATACTTTTAACGTAAGAGTTTTTGCTTTAAAGTATTTGCGCAAGAGAGCATCTACACTGGCATGTGCCTTTGCGCATCTACACTGGCATGTGCCTTTGCGCAAGAAAGCTCTCATGGCCATTTTAGCTATCGGGCTTTCTTGCGCAAGAAATTAACGTTGCCTGTCTACACTGGCCTCTTGCGCAAGAACAGTTGCGCAAGAGGGCTTATCCCTGAGCAGGAGCGTCAGAGTATTTGCACAAGAAGCACTGATTTCCTACATTATAATGTCATTGTTCTTGCGCAAGTACTCGCAGCCAATGTAGACAGGTGGAAAGATTTTGCGCAAAAGCAGCCGATTTTGCGCAAAATCTAGCCAATGTAGACACCGCCTGTTAGTGGCAGATCAGCACTGCCAGAAGTAATGACTACAATAGTCAAGCCACCAGAGGGAGTAGCGTCTCTATGATTGGAATCTGGTTGCACATTGTGTGGCTTGAGTTTGCTTTTTCAAGGGAGCGGGGATTCTAACTCCCTGTCACTGAAGGACCCAGCTTGAGAAAGTGCTCAGCTGCTCCGTGAATGGGATAAAGAGGGAAAGATTTCCCAGCTCTGTGGAAAATCACTTAACATTCACAAACACTCATAATTGAAGAATAAATTCTCCAGAACTCTTGAGTGGAAAGCAAACAGGGCAGAAAGCCTAGTCCATCTGCTTATGGAGAGTGAACAGTAGAGAATTTGTTTAATGTGAACAGTACAGAGCTCTAATGTTTTGAGTGTAGACAAAGCCTGAGCAATCATTTGTTTCTGCCGATGAAGGTTTTAATGGGCCACTTTCCCTCTCCCAGGATTTGCCTTTGGAGCCAGCAGGGGGCAGTAAAGTGAAAAATAGTCTTTATCTTAAATCAGCAGCTAATATCCTCCTTTATGCATCTTCTTTTTTTTTTTTTTTTGGAAAAGGAGGAGACATGGCCTATGTTTAGTAATAAGGATATATTATTCTTGATCTCTTAAGAAGCTATGGACACACTGATACTTTCTTTCTGTTGCCTGATATCCCTGATAGCAGTGAATAACTGGTCTTTCTTAAGCAATGTCTGCTGGGCATCGGAGCTCATAAAAGCCAAGCCCTGCACAAGCAGTGTCTGTCTACCCATTACCCCAGATTCCAGACACTTTTCTGCATCATGATGCAAGGGAGCCAATGCCTTTAGATGGCACCTGAGTGTTAACACAAAAATGCCAAAGTTAAATTCCAGATTTGCCACAGTTCCGTGTTTTATTGCAACTACATCAAGAAGCCTTAGCAGTATTTACTGGGCTAATCTGGCATACATTTAATGGCTATCAAATAACATGGCCATGTTGATTGTTAGGGGCTTTTGTCACCAGTCAGTGGAAGGGCAGATGGCCTAGCTTCAGACAGGGCTCCCAGAGAGGTCAAGGCCCAAGTGAACTAGAAACATCGTTATTTCATAGTCAAAGGGAGTTTGGATCACAGCGGAAGTAAAGAACTAAACTCTTCTTTCACTGAAGGCATGGAGGGAGCTGATTCAGTAGAGTGGGGGAAGTCAGGCCTTTACTTTTTCATGGAGTCAAATGAATGTGTGATGATTTCTGCCTTCATTCTGAAAGAAACAGTAAGTGTGTAGCTCTCATGGCTGTGGTGAAAGCTTGAAAATGTGAGCTCAGTGCACCCTAAAAGGTCAAAAGCAGAAGGAAAATAAAAAGAATACCAACTCTTTAAAGTCGATCTCATGATTTTTGAATATCGTCATGCCTCATTTGCGCACTTAATGAGCTACAATTTTTGTGCAAGGGGCTTTTGCACAAAAAGGAGCTGTCTCCACAGCTCCTTTTTGCTCAAAACCCCCCTCTTGTGCAAGAGCCACTGTTCCTGAAAAAAGCGGCAGAATGGCTCTTGAGGAAGAGGGGGCTTTTGCAGAAAAAGGAGCCGTGTAGATGGCTCATTTTTGCACAAAAGCCCCTTGCACAAAATGGCGGCTCATTAAGTATGCAAATGAGGTGCAGCGATATTCACCACTTTGCCTCATTTGCATATTCTCTTGCACAAGAGGGGGCAGTCTAGATATAGCCTTGGAGTTGGCAGGGTTGCACTAACTGTCTACCATGAAGTTCTGCTGTGCAAGGTTTCCCTATGCATTAGTCCTGAGTAGGGTTGAGAGTCTGGGGTGGTGGGGCTGGTAAGTTTTTTGACTGTGTGGCTCCTGTGTGAGGACAAACACCATACTCTGAGGCACCACAAGAAGGATTGCAGATTGGCTCTATAGCCTCCACTTCACAGCCTGGCAAGTTGAGATAGCAACTGGATAGGTTTCGTGTGGGAAGAATTAGATCACTGAACTAAACAACTGTGACAGGCAAAACAAAATCAAAGTTAAATAAAGCTAAAATGCAATTAAAACGGATAAAAGAGCTTTAAACCGCCCCAGTGGTTTAAACTAATGTAACTCACTGCCACAGTCTACCATTGAGGCTTTCAAAGTAACTTAAAGAAAACTTTGTATTTTAGAGCATGAAATTACCATGAGTTGGGGGAGAGGAAGAAATTTCTACTCAACATTAAGTAGAGCATGATCTAGCATAATATGGGAAAGCCGGGTGTTGTTTGTCCCACTGACACTAAAATCAAAACTCACGTTGACTTCAGTGGAACCTAAAATTGACCCTACGACCAGAATTTGAGCCTATTTTGAAACTTCATTCAGGAATTGGGAGAATAAGTAGTAAAAAAAGAGAGAGGGAGTGCAAGCTTGGATAGAAAGGTGAGAAAGAAGAATGAAATTTGACCTGCTAAATCCCATTGAGAGCATTGGAAGTTTTCCCACTTACTTCAGTGAGCTTCAAATCAGACCCAGACTCAGCTTATAGGAGTAGCCAGCAGTCTTTTTTGCCTTTTAGTTGGTGTCCTGTCAGAATGACATCTTTGGCCCCTGTTACTCCATCTGCACAATTGAAACCTGTAAAAAAATCCCTCGTGCTGTAAGGATAAACTTAAAAAACAACAAATAGTCTGGTAGCATTTTATAGACTAACAAAACATGTAGATGGTATCATGAGCTTTCGTGGGCACAACCCACTTCTTCAGATGACTGGAGTTTTGAGTTTAGGAATTCCAGACACAAAATAAATAGGGGAGAAGGGAGAAGGGGAAAGGAAAAAAATGGAAGGGGGCAGGAAACAAGAAGCAGAGGGTATGTAAATATCAAAGGGAAAACCATAAGGTTTGGGGTTTTTTTTGTTTTGTTTGCACATATCATCTGGGCTGTACCCACCTAAAATATAGAGCACGTGCAGATTTAAATGGCCAAATCCAAGATTATAGTTACAATAGCAAAACGTGCAATCGATTTTTTTTTAAATAATTCATGGGAATTATAAATAAAAGATTAAGAGAACTACTCTAACAATGCAGAATGCAGAGTGGCATGCTTGTGTCTTTTACCTAAAACATCACAGGCCTGTCCCACATTAACATAAAGACCCCTTCACATCATGCTGGTAGTGTAAACAACCATGAAAGTGAGTTCAAATGTCATAATTACCCACCGACAGCTCACTTGACATTGCCAGAGTAGTGTAAAGACGCCTTATGTAAATGTGAATCAGGCCTATAGTCTTGATCAAATCCAGGGGAATCAATGCAATACCTGGTGTGAGTACTACAATTTAAATGCAATGAGTGATTGTTTCCACACTAGGAAAAAAATGTGTGGTCTTAACTCAACTTAATTAACATGTGGTAACTAGAAAAACAACAAATAGTCTTGCAGCACTTTAGAGATTGACAAAAATGTAGATAGTACATCAGCTTTCATTGGCACAACCCACTTCTTCAACTAGAGGCATGAAGGCAAGTGTAATGGTCCATAGGTTTCTGGTATAAGCAGATGGAAATGTGTTCATCATGTAATTGTACTGTAGTGTCAAGAAAGTGGATTTCTCGTGTGGACTGATTCTATCTGAGGTTGATGGTGGGGTGGAAGTTACTGAAATCCCTGTGAAATTCTTCAAGGGTCTCTTTCCCATAGGTCAATATGATGAAGATGTCATCAATGTAGCGTAAGTAGAGTAAAGGTGCTAGGTGGCAAAAGCAAGAGTTGTTCAAGGTCAGCCATAAAGACATTGGCATATTGTGCGCAAGGTGTTGTTTCAGGCCAATTCCACAAACCAAGTACACAGAGAAGGGTTGGAACTTTACTTCATTTACAAGTTTGAGTCTTATCAGAGAGGAATGAATAAAGCCATCATCAGCTGGCTTTCACACTACCTTCCACATCCTAATGACTTAACCAACCAACCATCCAATGGGTACTTATAGAGGTGCAAATTGATCTTATCAGACTCTTGTAACTTGAAAAACCTAATTCAATATTTTTCCCTTTTTTTTCTTCTCCCCCTTCTCTCCCTCTCCTCCCGCCTTTCCTTATTTATTCTTGGCTCTGGACTTTTAATATTCTAATCATCGGAAGAAGTGGGTTGTGCCCACAAAAGTTCATGATACCATCTACATGTTTTATTGGTCTTTAAGGTGCTGCTAGACTATTCCTTGTTTTTTAAGTTTTTCCAGTTACAGACTAACTCTGCTACCTCTCTGAAGCTTCTGAACCTGCTGGTACTCATCAGTCTTGTTGGTGTAAAATAAATCAGATGCATCTATAGCCAGGTAGGAATCCTTCCCGAGTGTGAACCATTGATTAATATGTAACTGCTTTGCTTAATGGGCTAGTTTATGGGAGCAAAAAAAGAAATGCTAAAGCTAAAGGGCTAAATTCAAAGAGGTTGAACAGATGGAAATGGGGGTAGAATTTATCCCATAGGTTAAAACTCACTGTTGCATGCTGCTCCAAGCCACTAATTCAAGCACACTCATCAGCCTAATTTAACTGTTTTCTAGAAATCACAGTATTTATAAATTCAGTCCATTCTCTGGAAAAAAACAATTCTGGGCAGCAACTCGCAGATGCCTTAATGTTTTCCAAATGCATTGCCACTTTCAATAATTATGACATGATGATGTTGTTCATTATGAGGTTGTGCTATAGCACAATTCTTTCCTGTCCCCAGCATCCAAAAAATAAAACCCAAAATATGCATTTTGTTTTGAGTGCCTGGTTACACATCATCTTAGTCCAAAAACACAGCAAGCATAATGCTTCTTGTTTACTCATACGCAGACCTGGTAAGGTTAAAAGGTTTGTATATGCAGACTGCAATTTTGACTTCTTGTTGACCAGTGTGGTGGAAGAGAAGTTTACTTTTGTTCCTGACTAGGTATAATATAAGCTAGGAAACCATCAGTTTAGGGTGAGTCCATTCAATTTCTCAGCAGTTTGTCCTGAATCTGACATTCTCAGCTATGACCCACAAAAGCACGGTGACAACTTCCAGTAATTAGGTTGATAAGAAGAACTCTCCCATTTTCCTAGCATTGTCATCTGAGAGGATTAAATTGCCTTAACTATGTTGCTCAGATTACTGGATTTCCCCCCACCCTTCCTCCTCCCCGAGACATAGCTGAGTCAATATAACATTTTAGTGTACACCAGGCATACGTCATCCATATTGAAATGGTATCTGTTCTGATGCAGGACCGGCTCTAGGCACGAGCAAATCAGGCAGGTGCTTGGGGCAGCACTTTGCCAGGGGCGGCATTTCAGGTAAGCAGCTGGCGCTGCCTCTGGCAGTGCGTAGCCCCGCCCCGCCCCGCCGATTTTAAAGGGCCGCGGGCCAGGAAACGCCATGGCTGCGCAGCCAGCTGGCACCAATGCGCGCCCAAAGCCTGCTGGCCACCTCTGTCTCCTCTCCTGCTCCTCCTCTCCCTGGCGGTCGCTAAGCAGCCAGCGCCGCCCACAGCAATGCCCAGCCCCATGCCGCTGATTTTAAAGGGCCATGGGAGATGCCGCAGCTGCGCAGCCAGCACTAGCACCATATGCTCCTGGAGCCTGCTGGCCGGCCCTGTCTCCTGAGTCCTGCTCCTCCCCAGCGGCCGCTACCTCCTCCAAGAGCCTCTCCACTCCAAGCGGAAGCTCCACTCCACCAGACCTGCAGCCTGGACCTAGCCATCAGCCACCCACCCCTCCACCTACATCGTGTGGAAATCCCAGGTAGGACGCCCCCTTCCCGCCTAGGGTTGCCAGATGTCCGGTATTTAGGGTTGCCAGGTATCCGGTATTCACCCAGACAGTCCAGCATTTTCGGCTCCTGTCTGGTAAAAAAATTCAGAGCATACCGGCCACCTGAGATGTCCGGTATTTTCTGATTTTTTTCCCCGGCCAGGAGGCAAAAATGCGAGGCACCTGGCAACCCTACAAACACTCAGCGCCTGGCCCCCCACCCCAACTCCCAGCCGGCCAAAAGACCAAGGGGAAGCAATACTGTTTTATTTTTTCCTGGTATTTTTTTTTATGGCTGGGGGAGGGGAGGCCAAAAATATTTTGCTTGGGGCAGTAAAAAAACCTAGAGCCGGCCGTGTTCTGAAGTTTATATTTACGGATTTGAGAGCTAGGATTTTTCCAATAAGAAATTGGGTCCTTAATCATCAACCTTGTTAATTATTTCATGGTGATCCTTTTAGTTTCAAGTAATCAACTAAGATGCTTACTCATCACTTTTGGAAGCCTGGGATATATTATTTCCCTCATTTAAAAAATACATTATCACTTTTTTCCCTGACTTACTTTTTTCCCAGTGAGTCTGGATGCTCTCTTTCGAAGAAGCCCTATTTACATTAAAGAACGCCTTCTTTCGAAAGAGGAACTTTCAAAAGAAGGCGTTCTTCCTCGTGAAATGAGGTTTACCGCCATCGAAAGAAAAGCCGCGTTCTTTCGATTTAATTTCGAAAGAACGCGGCTGTAGTCTAGACGCAGGGGAAGTTTTTTCGAAAAAACCCCTGAGTCTGGACACAGGCTAGGTGAGTTCTTTCCTCTTTCAGCACATGGTGTATATTGGCATGGTAAAGTGCTTGGCTGTCAACATGAGTGAACAAGAGGCCGGTTGGTATGCTGTAGCTGAATATTAAATGCCTGACTTGTTAGTATAAGGCTAAAGGATAGTTTGGACTCTGGCTCTGTTTTGCAGTTCCACTCTCCTTCAGAAGTGTGCAATGTCATCACGCTCCTGCCAAAGGAGTTTGTTCATCTGCTGGTGGAACGAGCAAATTTCCCAGGGCACAGTTTAGGCTGTAACATTTGGACTTTATGCTCTAGCAGGAAAGTGCATTTGGTTCTCCAATATTGGCTGCTTAAGGTAGGAGCTTGTGGTTGTGAGTGGAGTCAGGTCTGGGCTTTGTGGCGTGCTTGCCCAGGTAAAAAAAGCACAACCACAGAGCCAGTGTGCACAGAATGTTTTTGAGATTCCTGAGAGCCAGCATATGGCGTGTGGGAGGCCTGCTGAATGCCCCCTCTAACACCTGAGTTCCAGGTGAGGGCATTCCTCCCCCCGACGCTTTTTCCTCAAAGGGACCTGGTGGCGTCATTGCAGCCTCATTTGCGCAGCCCCAGTTGTGGCTGTGTCAGTGTTTCCATAGGAACTCCCAGTTTTCAAGGGTTTAAAAGCTGGCTATAAAAAGTCTCTCTAGGCAAAAAACTTGGCAAGCCTGGTTTCAGTGTGGGAGCAAGCCACTGCCTTTTAAAGAGGGATTACTTTACTCTACATTATAACTCAGATTACTTTGTGGACCCTCTCTAAACCAAGGTTTTCAGGCTACCTACACCTTCAAGTGTCCTGGCAGCATGAGCCTCACGTCGTTGAACAAGAACCACACAGGTTGCTCAATGAGGCACAACATCGAGGGTCTCTAGAAACACTCTTGACTGGACCTCGCAGTTTCAGCAGAGTCTTAGTTCAGTTCAGGAAGGAGAGAGCCCATAAAATACAGGGATAAAACAGGTCTCCATAAAAGTACTCAGGTGTGATTTGGACCAAGTCCCTGGTCTCAGTGCCAAAGCTGTAGCTTTCATAACCTGATCAATTCCTTCCCACTTGTGAAGGCAAATCATAGGCCATAAACAAAAGAAACATTTTTTTTTTCTGATTCAGAGTTCAATGTCACACTCTGAACTACTTATGTACAGTAGTGGCGCTTTTGAGTAGCAAAAAGGAAAACAGAAAAAAAAACATCCTGGCTTTAGATATCTGAACAATTCAGTTGCAACTGATCCTAATCTGGGGTAATTGGTAGGTCATTATCCTCTATCCAGTGGCTTTTTGGTGACCCATGTGAAAGCTTTTGATCACAGCAGAGTCTCTAGCAAGAACTATATCCCGCAAGCAGGCATCATTTGCAGCAGTCTCACATGAGACTCTTGCAGACAGACTCCAGGTGTGTTACAGGAAGGTATTTGGTGGCTGGAGCCATGGAGCTTTTTAGGTTGGTGGAGTAACATTTGTGGAACAAACCCTCAGCTCATTAGTAAACATTGACCATAGTTGTGCTCAACGGGCCCTGTGAGGATTGCAGTTGTGTTGTATGGGATGCTCTAAAAACACAGAGAAAGAGACACTCCCTGATTTATATTTTTCTTCTTACAAATAAAAATCTAGCTGTTCTTGTTCTCTGTATAAATGTCTAAGCTCCTTCTGAGTCCTGCTCACCTCATGGCCTCAGTGGTATCCAGTGACTAATTGCACTAATCCCACACTAGACATTGCCAAATTAAAGACCTGAATGAATCCTACCATGAGCTGAGGGGCTGCAGGGATTTCTCCTCCTACAGCTCATCCTAGGAATCAAGCCACACAAACAGACATATGAAGGGTCAGTGGCTAAAGATACAACACACATGCACGTGGATAGGGTGACTCTTGGTTGGTTTAACGGGGTAGATGGAGAAAGAAGGGGACACTGATTTCACCCTTTGGCCACTCAGCTCCTCTGGAAATGCACCATTCCTGGTCAAAGCTGCATGCGGGATTCCTACTACATGCTCCTACTACAGGAGGATTTCCACTTCAGGATTGGGACGGCAGGTGGGGCAGATGGGTAGGTTATATTACAGGACTTTTCTACTCTGTGCTCTGCAGGGCTAGCAGGAGACAATGAATATACTTCCTGGGCCTTCCCCCAGCCAGCTCCCTTATGTATGTGGTGTGCCCCCTGCACACTCATGTAATTTAGCAAACTGGGCACAAAATTGGCTGGCTCACACATTCCAAGATCTTTCTCTCTCACTAACAATCTCCCTACCATTTTTCTATTGCCAGTCACAGGAGCAATGAGGCTGACGAATGCTCTAACACCTTTGTTACACCTTTGTTGACAGAATTATGTGCTCTTGGCAAGTGGGAGGGTAACAACCTGCAAGGCTATTTCATCAGTATTTTCTGATCCTTTTGGTTCTTTCCCTTGCTTTGACTACAGTCATTCGGCAGTACTGTGCATCTCCAGTCATGAATGGATGCAGTCGGAGCCAGCAATACTCAACTCACGCAGGTACTACTGGTCATGTCCTAGAGAGGCAAACTCCAGTCCCACTTGGCATGCTATTGTTATGCTGCCAATAGGCCTAGAATAAATACATTTTAACTATTTCCCCCACTGTAATGTAACACTGAGCTTCCAGATGTTGTCGAGCAGAACAGTATGTGCTGCTCTGTTCTCAGATGCCATGTGGAACTGCTTCCGCAGCCTTAACCATACCGTGATTGAGATATTTAGAAAACATAATAAAGCAACAGACATGGTTCACTTGGAACGTCATCAGAAACAAATGTTGTACAAGACCTTTGTTGTTAAACCATTTACACAATAGTAGACCTCAAGGAAATCAGCACCTTGCTCGCATGTGCTGAGGCAGCGAAACAAAGACTAAATCTAGAATAGTAATAAAGAAAGTCTAAATCTGGCAGCCAAGTACCTGCATGGATTTCAGTTCTTACTAGAATACAGGACTATGTACCCATTCAACTCTAGCTAAAAGAAATCCCAGCTCTTTTGTAAAAATCACTGTGTGTCAGGCACTTATTCAGCAGCGGTTTTGTACTAGGATTACCGGATTCAGATGATCTATTATGGTTGAACCATAACACCTAGAAACATGCTGCTTAAGATGTTTTGCTCTCTCAAGGAAATCTCTTATCTGCAGCTTAGCCTCCAAATAGAAATGCTAAAGGCTGAATAACATGTACAGTGTAGTGCTGAAATGTAATGCCGCAGCAATAGAAACATTTAGCTGCTCATCATGTAAGCATAAAAAGCCAAGATTTCACCAACATTCTTGTGGTAATAAGCATTTAAAGAATGCTTCTTGACTTCATTGTATGCATATGTAATCATACATTCTTAGCATATGACACAATGCGTACATGAAATTACACGCATGTGCCCACAAGGAGTCTGATTTGGAAAAAAAAAGAAAAAGCCTCAACCCAGGTGTCCATTTCTGTGGTCATAAAAAATTGGTCCTAGAATTAACTGGGATGCAAAGGACAAGAGTTACCTCCCTAATTGCTGGATCTAGTTTGGTCACAGATCTTCTTGTTAGAAATCTAAATTCTCTAATCCATGCTTTCCATTATTTGTACCTGGAAAAATTGAAGGCAACATCTAAAAAGATCAGCCCATCACATAAATCAGTGTAACCAGCTTATATTTCCTAAGGCCCCGCTCCTAAACATATAGGTACTTAATGCTCATTGACATTAATGAAGTTAGGAGCTTAAGTACCTTTGTGAGCTTAATTGTCTGGGGTTAGGAAGACAGATCTCATATGAGCAGGTTATTGTCTAATTGTCCAGTGTGAGATTTCACTAAACTTCTGCTGACACTGGAGACAAGAGAGGAGATAAGATAAAGGAATCATTGACGTGATCTGGCTTGGTTATTTTTCTATAAGCTATGGGAACTATTTATGCGGACGATCTGTTGACATTTCCATTGAGATCACCATCAAAGGACCTCACAGACTTTATAGATATAAGCATGGCAGCTGTTTCACAAAGCATAGCAACATCGAGCAACAGTGGATGACAGCAAAGGAAGAACAATAGTCTGTCCAGATTGAAAACGCTAGCCTTATTTAGAGAAGAATATACTCACAGAGAGTGTCATTTAGCCAGTTTTTGTACCAATGACTAGAAGTTATTGGGCTCTCCATTATGACACGGGCAAAAGATCACAGTGGTACTTTTCACAGAATTGTATGCTTGATTTTTTGAAACAGAGAAAAAATCCATGAGCAATGGGGATCTGAAAAAAAATCCATGAGCAATGGGGATCATTTATTTCTAACAAAATATGATGAAATACTCTCCATGTTCCGTATTTTTATGGATATTCTGTGATTAAAATGTCCAGACATTCTCTGGCCTGACACGTGGCTGTAGGACTGTGCAGTTCTTATAAAGCAGGTGGTCTACCAGACTAGCATGTCATAAGACCAATCACCCAGTGCACGAGGGAGCTGGAGGTGCAAGTAGGTCATGCACATTATTTTAGGAAGTATGTAAATCATGCAAATGAATGCCACATGCCTCTCACAGCAGCTTTTCATAGAGCTTGCTCTTCTTTCTCCTCACCCACTCTCTGCTGTATGCTACTTCTTCAACCCATGCTGTGGAAGGGGGGTGCAGTAATTGGTCATCAGTGGGATCTCTGACTTCCCTGCACACTGACTTGGAACCTGGATCGTCAGCTCACTATGCCTTGGCCTCCCTTGCTGAAAAGAGCATTTTGGCTCAGACAAATGGAATATCTCTGTGGGCTGGGCTGTGCCAGTCAGGTTCCCTAGCTACCTCTCAGGTAGGGAAGATCACACTAGCTTCCCTGACCCACAAACTTGCTGGGTCACCAGGGAGAAACCTATACCATCCCTTGCCCACAATCCCGGACTAACAGAGAACAAACAATCAGAAGGGGGATGTGGGTAGGGAGGTAGAGTGACTGCTCTGCCCCTAGCGAGTGGATGATGTTTGACAGCTGCAGCAGTTCTGCCTCTTCTTAGCAGTCAGATCCACCTTCTATAGCTGCAGGTCTCCAGTGGCCAACCCCACCCCTGGAGATATGGAGCAAGAGCACTCAAGATCTGGCCTCAAAAGCTTTAATAGAGCCTGTAGTAGAGTGCAGAGCTATATTTACAGTTGAAATCTGTTCTCAGCTTTACATTATTAAGAGCTCTCTTGGCCTCATGGCTCATAATTCCTTCCTCTCTTCTCTTCTCCAACACTATCACTCTGCCCTCCAGCTTTCCTCTCTTTCCGTATTCCAGGAGCAATATTGACGGGCTTCAGTTATAAGAATGTATGGGTTTGCCAAGTAGTTGTTTGGACGTGCTGCGTGTAAGCTGTTAAAAAATGTGTTACTCTGGCGAGTCACCTAATTGTCTAGCTTATTAAATGCCCAATCAGTCCATGTATGGCCACAGCAGTTTTAGGACTATAATTAAACTAATATTACTACCTAAGGATGTGTAACTGTAACTGCATACATGTGCTACCTTCACTGAACTATGGGTTTTCTGCAGCGGCACATGACTGGGGAGGAGAATGGAGCTTTCCGACAAAGCATATGGCAGAGAGAGCCAAACTCTGCCCTTAAGAAGGGTATGGCTCTGAGCAGTGAGTTTCCATTACCACAGTACAGAAAGCCTTGAAGGTACGATGGGGCTGGAGGGACTCTGCCCTTCCCCAAATGCTACTAATTCTGACACACAAACAGGGTGAAATCAGACAAGTTGAGTGTGTCTTAGGTCTTCTGTTATTTTTGAAAGTTCTGTACGTCTAACGCTTTTAGTAGGTGACCGCAGTTAAAATGTTGTTTGATTAACTCTGTGTTTCCTGCTTTCTTAACATATTGCCCCCCTCCCCCCAGGACTGGTGCTAACTTGCTTACATCCTGGGGGAGTGCTTGTCCCCCGACTCTGCTCTGTGTCCTGCCCCATACCATCTCTTCACTGGAAGGCCCCATCCCTGCCTCTTCACTCCTCCCCCTCTCCTCACTGCGTCCAGCATGCCACTGAACAGCTGATGTGCAGCAGGCCGGACATGCTGAGATGGCAAGGCATGAGCTGCTTGGCAGGCTGCCAGTGGACAGAAGGGCTCAGAAGGAGAGGGTACTGTTCCATGGGGCTGCCAGTAGACCCTGAGCACCCACTATTTTTTCCCATGGTATTTTTTTCCAGTGCCAAATAACCACAGCCTAGGTGGGACTCTTGACAGAGCATGAGCAACCTGGGGAGCCTTGGGAAGGCTGAGGCATTGTTTTCATCGTCTAAAGGGGCTAGACTGTGAATTCCCAAGTCCCAAGGATAATGTAGTGCCTGATCCAAGAAAAGAGATTGGAGCTTGGAAATGAGCCCTAGGGATCCAGAGCGAGGAACAGTGACAAGAGTCTACCTGGACCCTGTTCATTTAAAAGTATTTGGGAACTTATTGTGTCTATTTTTACAACCCATCAGTGATAGGTCAGAGGGGTCTTGGGCCAGGTTATAACCATCTCCATGGGTCGGATTCTGCACTTTCACCAGCCTCACTCCAGTGATTTCCAGTAGGAATACCCCTGGGTTATCATCATTGTACAAGAATTAAATCAGACTTTGTACGTTTGTGTAATCTGATTGGTGGGAGAGAGAACACAGTGAATGAGGGCTCTGGGAGCATCTGTGGATGGATGCTGAAAAACATTACTTGGGTGCCTATTTGCTGAATATGAAGCACCATTGTCTGAGCACTGGCACAAACACAAGCACCTCTTTCTATTCCTTTTTACCCTTTAAAAATAAGAAAAGGGTATGTTAAATATAAAAACTCTGTTATTGTAATGTTACATTTATTATTACCATACACACACATTAGGAAGAACAGAAGAAAACTTCTACCATGAATGTTAACTCAGCCACATTGGACAGGGCCAAAATGTTAACGTTTGGGTGCCTAACATTATGGGTGTGTCTACATGGCGGCATTAGCTTATTTTGAAATAGAGCGCTATTCCGGCATCTTCCTTAATCCTTGTGCAACAAGGTTTACAGAAAGACAGAATAAGACGCCCATGATTTCGAATGTATTTCAAAATAATGGGCTTCTTGTGCTGACAGCGCAGAACGCTGTTTTGGGATGAAGCTGTGTAGACGTACCCTCCGTGTCTAAATTTAGGTGTTAGCACATAAGAAAAAGTGACAATGTTTAAAGGACCTGAGTAGCTGCATCTTCATTGGGAGCTAAGGATGCTCATTACCTCTGAAAACCAGGCCTCTTTTGTTTAAGGCCTTAATGCAGCAAAGAACCTATGGATGTGCTTAATGTTAATTGAAGCCTAAGTGCCTAAACATATATGTCAGAGCCTATCTTTAGGCGATCATATATGAAATTTTTCACTTAAAGTTGTTATTCATAAATGAAGCTTTGAGAGTCTCATTGTTTTACAATTTTCTAATATAATATTTGCACTTAATTAAAGAACATGAGGTTTTTATGAGATTTAGTCTAGGAAACCTCTTAATGGCTATATGCCCTGAATGTGGAATATAGCGAAAGAAGACCATTCCATAATGTAACTGCTAGATGGATGGTACTCATTGTAAATGACTATTTCTGCCCCTAATTCACCCTCTGAATTCATCATGGAACAAAAGACTGTCTTGCTTTGTGAATAAATGTGTTCTGCATCTTCTAAAGACAGAAATTAAATTATGTTGTATTTTTCTTTTTAGAAAATGGAGATCCAGCTCAAGCAACAGGAGGAGAACATAAACTGTGGCCAATTGTAATTAAATTAAGTGGACTATCAGATAATATAGTGCCTGATCCAAAGCCCATTGCAGACGATATGTTGTATTTCCATTGATTTCAATGGATTTTGATGAACAAATAATAAGCTATCTGGCAAAAAATATGTATCCTGAAAATTATGTATGTTGGATTCCTATAAATATCAACAATAACTTTGCAGAGTCAGAGCCAGAATTCTTTAGAACAATGCAATCTAGTCATATGGTACACGTATCAAAGCCAGGGCCATGGGCTGCCAAAGTACAGAATATACACAAGTGGTGATGGTGTGGGGCATTAGTGGGCATGTCGATACTACATCCCTCTTTCAAAAGAGGGATGTAAATTAGGCAGATTGAAAGTGCAAATGAAGCGGGGATTTAAATATCCAGTGCTTCATTTGCATAATTGCATCACAGCATTCTTTCGAAAAAGGGTATTTGAGGAATACAGGATCTTTCGAAAAAGGGTTTTTTTCCTAAAGAACCATGTCTAGACAGCAGTTTCACTTTCGAAATACCTTTTTTTGAAAGAAAGCTGTGACGTGATTGTGCAAATGAAGCATAGGATATTTAAATCCCCGCTTCATTTGCACTTTCGATCTGCCTAATTTACATCCCTCTTTCGAAAGAGGGATGTAGGTTAGACATAGCAGAAGGTACAAAGAGTTCAAGTGACTCTACACTTGGGAGCCATGTTGTGGCTGGGGAGCACAGAAACAGTGCCATCCCACGACAATTTCTACTTTGTGTGGAACCCCACCCTTCTCCCTGCATTTTGGAATAGAATTGCCACAGTTACTTTGAAGTCAGTTCTGCTCCCGCTGGCATTTAATGCCAAAACTGCTAATGCCTTTCGCAGGAAAAGGGTTAGTCCCTCATCACTCTAACCTGTTGTCTTTGTACTCCCATCTTTTGCTCTGATAACGTAACACATAACATGAATAACATTGAGACACTGAAACAATTTGTCTCATATCCCCATAGCTTTTACGAATACCAAGAACATGGTCTGGAGTGATTCTTTGAGTGCAGAGAAAAATTTTACAGCTGAAAATGTTTGAGAGAGACTTTCCACTTAAAATGCTAACCCCTGTATTTTACATTTTAATGGTACACTAATGCTGAATTAAAATGGAATCCCTAGGGTAATATACCATATCTAAATCAATACTCCATAATTAGTGTCACGAAAATGAATATTAAAAGATATAGTAGCAATGGAATATACCAAACAAGGAAGGTTTTTAGTGAAAAAGGCTTTGGTGTCCATTAACTCATGCCTGACTAATGCTAAATTACAGCCAAATATCTGGAAAATACCACATTAATGCCCACAAAATGTATCCTAATTAGCGC